AGAAGTTGAGTGCGCCAAAACAAAAAATTACGGGATGTCAATTTGATGGAAACGAAGTGATGAGCCGAAGAAAACGACACCCCGGACTGCAAGGGTGCCACAAGCGCAGCCTCAGAAACAGTCCGTTCAGAACTTCCAACAGAACCGCCATCAGAACCGAGGTGCGCCATAGAGAGAGAGAAAAAGAACCTGCTGATACCAGATGAGGATATAATATTTCTGAATGAATCAAATAATAAGTCTGTACAGGAATATATATAGTAGCGAATAGCAAACCTAATACAAGACTAACACTAGTAACAATAGGTAACGAATACTAATAATAATAGAGTCCTAATAGGCATAGTAGGGGTTTGGTATAGGAGGCGGGTGGCAGTGATGGTTTGGGTGAATGATTTATATAAATCAGTTGAGGTTATTGACATATACTTTGGAAAGTAATAAGAAAATGGAAAATATAAAACTTTCTTTTTGACTTTTATCGAAAACTGACCGACCAAACACTATTTTCTGTTTTTGTTTCACAGAATATGAAAACAAAAGCAAAAATGGTATCTTATCAAAATCACTTTTGAATTGCTGTTTAATGTTCTAATTATCTTTACACCTTTTTGAATTTTTTGTATTTTTTGTATTTTTATAGTTGTATGAGATGAAGAGAGGAGTTTGTGGGGTCGAGGTCGGGGTCGTTGGGTGAAAGATATGTTGATTAAGAGGTTATTGATGTATAGTTTAAAAATTTAAAAAATCCAGAAAAACTAACTCTTTTTGTCTGCTTATGATACAAACCAGACGGAAAAAGAAATTAATCAAATAATCATTCAAATGGCAGAATTCAAGGAAACATATCATCAGGGATTGACTGTAATCAATAGGTAATGAAAGAAATTTTTAAGTATTTAAGTCGTAAGTAATCCATAAGTGTTTCAATGTTTTCTTGTAGTGTAATTTGAGAGAATGTACCTAAGTGGAAGAGCTAGCATTAAAATAAGTGAGTTGAAGGTGACCTTCGGTCACCCTCCGCCTTACCTGCCACTATATACCCCTTTCATTCCGCTATAAATAGGAGCTTCATTTTGAGTTAGATGTGTGCTAGAGCATGAGATCGAGCAACTAATTTAAGGGCTTAAGTGTAAGCCTCTTACTTTTGTAATGTAATCAACTTGAATCTTTTCCTTTTGTTTTGAGGGGTTTCTCTTTGCGATGGTGTATATATGTTCATTTGGTTATGTTGCAGTTCTACGATATTGCATACATATTCATCTTTAATTGGATTGCTAATAATAATATGCTGTAGAATTTTAATTTCTCATTTTTACCGGATGTTATCATCACTATTGATAATTGTGAATAGTGGTGTAAACAAGACAAGTTTTTTATGAGCTAATTTAGGTGTTCTTGATCTCATCCTTGTTCACGTACTTACTCCTTGGATTTATGTGTGAGGTACACGAATGGATGGATTCTGGCACACTTGAGAATTTTCTCGTGGCATTTGCGGGCTTTGCTTCTGCTGGCTTTAAAGTAGAGGTATGATTTTATACACGTACTATTCTTTTTACCAGCAGCATTATTATACATCAGATCGAAAACTACAAATTAACCTGATGAGTTGGTGTTACTTAAAGTGAAGTAGAAAACTAGAAATGTGACGATGAGTTGCTAATTAATTCTACAAACAAGATGGAAGCTAAGCTAGGCGGAAACACCTAGATAGGGAATCTCGTGTAAGTACAACACCTTAACCATTTTGAGATAACGATATTGATGGAGATTAGAATCTGAGGTTGAGCACTTGAGCCTCTCATGATATTGATGAAGCTAAGGACACTCGTTTTCTCGATCAAATTTATTATTGATGTTATCATATCGTTAGGTTGTGTCTTCAATATACCATCTATATAAGAGTTGCTTTAATTTACTTCAAGTTTAGCTACATATATGCTATTACTGGTTTTGCGTTTAATTTGGTCGTTACGTACTGTTCTTTATTGCTAGCTTGGGACGCCTTATATAAAGAGCTTCAGATTACTATAACGATCTGTTTTGCCAGGAGACCGGAGAATACACCTTGGAAGAATTGAAGAAAGTTGCAGAAGTTGTGAATCTAATAACTAAACTGTTTGTGAACTTGAAGAAGCTAGTGGTATTGTATTTGCTGGTGGCACTAGCTGCTGCTGCAAAGAATTGCCAGCCAAAAATGCAAGAAATCAAATGATCAAATGAATGTAAATTGCGATAGTGCACTATCACTTTAGAAATTAATAACCCGCAATAGACATTAACTACTAATTGTCGACTTGCCGTTAATGTTGTACATACAGGCAGGTTGGAAGAGAAGAAATTGTAGAGCATGCATGAGCTCTCTGAAACTTGGGGGTGTGGTTGAGTGGAAGGGATTCATCCATCCTTAATCAAAAGTCAAGGGTTTGATCCTTGGTTTTGGGTACGAAGCAACCTTAAATCTCCAGGTCAGCTGTTCCACTCAAAAGAGGTGTCTACAATCCAGAGAGGGGATTAGTTACAGTGTCCGACGGTGAAAATCTTGAGTGTCCTCAAAAAAAAAAAAAAAAAGGAGCTCTCTTGTGCAAAAATTGCACTGTGAGCTGTTGATGCTACTAATGAGTGAAAAAGCAATCCTGACCTGGCCTTGTAATGCACAGAGCGTACGGTTGGGAAAGAGCTCTTTAGTCTTTATTTTATTTTGAAGCTCTTCCTTATTTGTTGTGCCTATTTGGGTGTTTGATGGATGAATATTTTAAAAAGAATTAAATAATAAAATCATATAAAAACTGTGTCTGCTAAGAGCATTCTCAATAGTTGTGATTTTTGAGGAATTTTTACAGGTATAATTAGGAAAGAGATAAAAGGGAAGAGAAATAGAAAAAAAAATCTACAAACAAAAAATAAAATTATAGAAGATTTTATGCGCCTAGGAGCGCGTGCACTGAACGCGCGTACGCGCACTTGGGCGCACAAGTAGCGCTGAACGTGCGAACAAAGCATGTCTTCTTCTGCACGCGAGTCCCAGAGTCTTATATTTTCAAATAAAAAATCACACCTTCTGCAAGAATTTTATTTCTTCTCTCTCCTTACCCTATCTTTTTCATATCATTCTTGCTTTCTCAAAAATCATTCCAAAATTCATAGATGGAGAATGGAGATGCTCTACAAGAGTAAGGGGGTATGTATGATTGTATGAAGAACCGAACTTGCAAAGAGAGCTTTATTTCATTTATTAACATATTTATTTTAAAACAAATTTATTCATCAATTCTCGATAGAGGGGAGGGGTAGTGGGGTTGGGATTTTTATTTTTAAATTACTATATTTTAATATTTAAAGTAAATAAATAAAATAATTTATTAATGATTAACCGCCACATTAGCAGTTAACCTGAAAACAAGTCACTTTTAATCTAATTGATTATTTTAGCTTATAAAATATACCAAAGTTTAAATAAATTTTAATTTGGCTTAGATTGTAAGGGTATTGTTTCTACATATTATGTGAAATGAAATGGGCAGTAGTTTAAATCCTATAGCTTTAATTTTGTTTTCGAATTTGTAAATATCAATAGTGAGAATAATTCTAATTGGACTACGTTATTTTAGAGGCAAATTATATCATGCACCTTGATCCAAAATTACGTCGTTTTGTATGTATTTTTTTTAGAAATTATATTTCATTTCTCGTTTCTGCTCTTAACTTCCAACAAAAAAAATTCTCTGTTTTGAATGTACAGAATTGTATAGTAGAATACATATAAACTCCTAACATAATACACATAATCTAACATAATACATATAAACTCTTAACATAATACACATAAACTCTAAACATAACACATATAAATTCTTAACATAATGCACATAAACTCTTTAACATAATACACAAAAATTCTTAACAGAATACACATAAACTCTAAACAGAATACACATAAACACAACTGTTTAAAAAAAAAATTATAACGGACGGAACGGTGTCCGTCGTGTCAACTCCCCACACAATTTATAAAAAAGACATCGTTTTGAGTTTGTACGCCCTGGTGCACGATATAACAATTGCATTTTTGACCCTTCATGGTGAACCTTGGTCCACGTTATAATTTGCTTAACAATTGCTCTATCATGCAAAACATGTAGATAATTGAACCTGGTTGTACGAAGCCTTCAACATAAACAGAATATATACAGGCCGACCTGAAGACTAGTAGTTTCATAATTGAGAATCTCTGGAAAAGTTTGATCATATTAGATGGCTCTAATAATACGGCAGACATTAGAAAAGATTAGATTCAATAAATATTATTCGGAATGGGAGTAATTAGGTTAATTATAAATAATGTTTTTAAGGTTAGTTGATAGTACGGCACTTTAATTTGAGCTTAGAATCCTATGTGTAATGTCCCTATACCTAAACTTTAAACTACTTTGACAAATTAACAGTATAAAGGGCTTAGGTTGAAATTATTCTGTACAACCAACCTGGCAGTAAGCTTAGCTTGTTGGGTATAAACGCAAAGCTTCTTTATGCAAACATACACATTCTTATGTCTATCAATCTCTCACCCTCCATCAACCACCTTTCTTTATCCTCACCGCCCATTCACTGCTCTACTTTTTTTTTTTTTTTTTTTTTTTTTTAAATTTTTTTTACTGGTATTATCTGTTATAAACTTTCTCAATTTTCTTTCTGATCAAAGAATCAATGCCTCCATTGCTGGGATTCGATCCTGTAACCACCATTTGATCACTTATTTGAAATGATAACAGATGTGCTATTACACTATATGTCTACTTAATACGCAACCCTTTATATATATATATATATATATATGGTCTGGTTCCGTGCGGATTTGCACTACTAGGTATACATGAATGCACCATCACGTGTTCAGAAATGCATGTGTGGTGCATTTTATGGTATATATATATATATATATATATATATATATATATATATATATATATATATTTCTTCTCTTCTCTCCCACTTAACCAACACAACTTTCTCCTTCCAGTTCTCCCTCCATATCTCTCTACTCTGCGGTCAAACAAAAAATTATTTTGTTTTTCTCCTTTTCCTATTCTCAATGGCAATTCAGCAGATTGTGTTCTTTTCTCTTTTGTTGATGATGTTGTTATTATCTGTGTCGGGCAAGAACAACCAGTCTGAGTTCTTTGATCTTATGAAGAAGTCTCTGTCAGGAGACTTGATGGCTGGCTGGGATGGAAAACATGTTTGCAACTATTCCGGGATTGGGTGTGATGATCTTGGTTATGTTGTGAAGATCGATATTTCTGGGTGGTCATTATCAGGCCGGTTTCCAGAAGGCGTCTGTGATTATTTGCCAAAGCTGCGAGTTCTTCGCCTCGGCCAGAATCATTTCCATGGAAATCGGTTTCCTGTCGGCGTCACCAACTGCTCGGTGTTGGAAGAGCTAAACATGACGGGTACATATGTGACCGGAGCTTTGCCGGACTTGACGCCTTTGCAGGCTTTAAGGTCACTTGATTTATCCTTCAACCTCTTCACCGGTGAGTTTCCTTTGTCGGTCACTAATCTCAGTAATCTTGAAGTTCTCAATTTCAATGAGAATGGCGGGTTCAGCCCGTGGCGGCTACCGGCGAATATCACCGGGCTGAGAAAGCTCAAGAGTCTGGTGTTAACGGCATGCAAACTCTCCGGGGGAATTCCGGTGGGGATTGGGAGCATGGCCTCACTGGTGGACCTTGAATTGAGCGAAAATGGCATGGTGGGAAGGATCCCGGGGGAGCTAGGGATGTTACCCAACTTACAACTTCTTGAGCTTTATTACAATCAACTCGACGGAGAAATCCCGGAAGAGCTTGGGAATTTAAGTAACTTGGTGGACTTGGATTTGTCCGGGAACAGATTAATCGGCAAAATCCCGGACTCCATTTCCTGTCTTCCCAACCTACAAGTCCTTCAAGTTTACAACAATACTCTCTCCGGCCAATTCCCGGCCGGCCTGGCTAACTCCACCACCTTGAGAATCTTGTCCCTTTACGCCAATTCCCTGTCCGGGGAAATCCCAGAAAACTTTGGGACGTCACCTTCTCTGGTCGTTTTAGATTTGTCGGAAAATCAATTCTCTGGAAAGCTACCACCAAACCTGTGTAACGGAGGTAAGTTGACGTACATCCTTCTTCTCCAGAATATGTTCTCAGGGGAATTGCCGGAAAGTTATGGGAATTGCCGGAGTGTTGTGCGGTTTAGAGTGAACTATAATCTTTTAGAGGGTAAGATCCCAGAACCCATATTTGGTCTCCCCCACGCTTCAATAATCGACGTGAGTAATAACAGGCTCAACGGCTCAATCCCCAGAACCATTGAGAATGCTAAGAACTTATCAGAACTGTTCATCCAGGGCAACATGATTTCCGGCACACTGCCTTGTATAATCTCTAGAGTTTCCAATCTTGTGAAGATTGATGCCAGCAATAACCTCCTATCAGGTCCAATACCATTCGAAATCGGGCACCTGAAAAGGCTAAATGTTCTGATTCTTCATGGGAACAGGCTAAACTCTTCCATTCCTGAATCCTTATCCTCCCTGAAATCCTTGAATTACCTGGATTTGTCCAACAATCTTTTGATGGGGAGAATCCCAGAGAGCCTTGGTGAATTGCTACCGAACCCGATGAACTTCTCGAACAATATGTTGTCCGGTGCTATACCTGAATCATTCTTGAAGGGAGGTGTATTGGATGGGTTTTCCGGCAATCCAGGACTATGTGTTATGTCCTATTCCAGTTTATTCCCTCTCTGCTCACAATCCTACGACCGGAAAAAGACAAAAATCGTTTGGGCTGTCGGGATTTCAGTGTTCTTTGTCATTGTCGGGGCCATCTTGTTCCTAAAACGATGGCACAGCAAACAAAGAGATTACCATATCCCAGAACAAGAAACATCCTACGACGTCAAGAGTTTCCACAAGCTGAGTTTCGAGCAGCGAGAGATCTTCGACGGGGTGGCGGAGAAGAACAAAGTCGGTGAGGGAGGGTCCGGGACGGTGTACAAAGTCAACCTGAGCAACGGCGAAGCCATAGCCGTGAAGAAGCTCCGGCGCCGGAAAGGGAAACAAGAAGGGTTGAGTCTAGACAGGGAATTGAAGACGGAGGTGGAGACGCTGGGGAGGATACGCCACAAGAACATTGTGAAGCTCTATTGCTACTTCTCCGGCGTGGATTCCAGCTTGTTGGTTTATGAATACATGCCAAATGGGAACCTGGGCGAGGCACTTCACGGCGGAAAGGCGGCGGATTTGGATTGGCCTATCCGGCATCGGATAGCCCTGGGGATAGCGCATGGATTGGCTTATCTCCATCATGATCTCCAGCCCCCAATTATACACAGGGATATCAAATCCACCAATATCCTCCTAGACGTTGATTACCACCCCAAAGTTGCAGATTTTGGGATAGCCAAAATCTTGCAAGCAATAAGGGGTGGAAAAGATTCCACTACCACAGTCATTGCAGGGACATATGGTTACTTGGCACCAGGTAACTAGCTCTGATACCAAATTAAAGCACTTCCATAGCTTATAGTTGGATTGTACATTTATGATTTGGTTTATTGTTTGATTAGAATATGCGTACTCTGCAAAGGCAACTACCAAGTGCGACGTTTACAGCTACGGGGTAGTGCTGATGGAGCTAATAACAGGGAAGAAGCCGGTGGAAGCCGAATTCGGGGAGAACAAGAACATTGTGTATTGGGTTTCAAGCAAGGTGGAAACCAAGGAAGCGGCATACAAGTTGTTGGATAAACGGGTGTCGGAGTCATTCAAGGGACACATGATTCAGGCGCTCCGTATTGCCATCCGTTGCACTTGTAGAACCCCCGCCTTACGCCCCACCATGAACGAGGTCGCCCAATATCTCGTGGAGGCACAATGTTGAGTATGTCAAAACATGAGTGAGCCCATGGATGTAAGACACATTGTCGAACCACGTAAATCTTTTCTTGCTTACTTTCTATTACAGAATTGAATTGAAGAATGGTTATTCCATTCCGCAGGTGTCTTTCAGTTGAGAGTGATGCGAATTGAAATGTCACGTAACACTACTGTGGAAGAAGCTAAGCAAGTTGAAGAAATGCCAGAGAGCATCGATCCATTATATGTGGAATGTCAGAGATTTGGCCTATATATATATTTGTGACTACTACTCATAGGTAGCATAACAGAACAGTAACCTCTGATCTTTAATTTGCTTTTTCAAAACCATCATATCATTTGTAGTATAAAGTTGTGTTTCACTTTTGCTTTCCCTTTTCTTCACTAGTTGAGACTTTGTCAATGTATCCACTGTGCATATATGGCATCTACATTTTGTAAATTGTAATAAAACTTTTCAAGTTTAACGGAATAAGCCTCTTTGCTCTTTACTAAGGAAGTAAATCTCACATTTATAACCCTTCCTCCTATTTTAGGCAAATTATATTTTGGATCATAAATAAATGTTTATTTTTAATACACTTAAAACTACATTATTTATGTATTAAAGTTTTTTTTTTTTTTTTTTTTTTTTTTAACCTATTGACATCAAGGCAAAAAACTGTTTACTAAACACATAATTTACCTATTTGACTAAAGTTGATCAAATAAGACAAAAATTGACTAATAAGTTATTACCTTTACAAAATTGAATATGTTATTAATATATTCAATTTTTATGTTATAAGTGCCATTATTCTTAAAAATTATAGAAAAGGAACTTTGCTTTATTTTGCATGAAGTGGATTCCTTCTTTATCTTCTCCCAAAATTGGAATCTCCAACTCCAAGGGTCTGACAAAGCATTTTGGAGGTTGTAAGTCACGGTGAATCAATGGCTCAGCAGACATGGTCAAATGTCGGTATGCACAAGGGATCTGCCTACTTTTGATATAATGGCATAATCCCCACACTACTGCCACTGAGGTTCAAACCTTGATCTCTTCTCTCAAATACTACTTATCAGTGTTGCAAAAATCGCACTTAAACGCCGATTAATCGGCGCCTAGACACTAGGCAGTCGGCCACCTAGGCGCTCTAAGCGCCCTAGGCAGTCTCCAGGCGCCTAGCGATTTTTTCAATCTTGCTACTTATATATTGAACTATTGAGTTAAGTCTGTGCAGTAGAACCATTTGCATGAATTGAAGTGGATTCCTGATTCCCTGGATGTCAAATAATGGGGGCTGAGGGAAGAACCAGGTCTTTAACACAGCTCATGTGTACCATGCATCTGATTGATTGAAGAGCATTTTTCTATCCGTGCGTGTCTCCCATTTTAGCAAAACAACATGCTTGGTAAAGCACTAAAGCATATTGGTTATTTCTTTCTTTTAAGTTGAGTTCCACTGTTTTTTTGGAGTATAAATAATGTTACGTTAATCAAAAGAGAACTCTATCAGATCAAATGGAATAAATCAATTTGCAAATACATTAACTCTGGGTATTATTATCTGCTCCTAAAATGAAAAGTGAAATGATTGACGATATCATAATCAAGTCTTTTCTATTTTTATACTCCGTATTTGATTATAAATTTTTTCAACACTTCTCAATTTATTTATTAAAACATGTAAAGATGCTACAAGAATTTTTCACATTTTTTTTTTTTATCACACAACTATATATTTTGACTCTTAGTTTTAATCATTGACTTTAAAATTTGTACTTTTAGTGTACAACTTTCATTGTTCTAGTAGCTTTGGTCATTCCAATGTGTTCCATAGCATGTCAAATAATACTCTATAAATAAGTCCAATTAAGTTCCAATTTCATCATTTTTCAATAATTTTTTATGGATCCCAGCGCTGCACTATGCTTACTTTCAGGGATTGTGATTGTTTGACTATCTGTTTGTCATATCCTACTTAAAATCATTTGTTGATAAGTAGATGGACATTAACCATTTAACCACGTCATTCTATGGTAAGTCACAACGCCACGACTCGAATCGTGCATGAACTGAACTCGGTCAAAAGATCGAATCCCAACAGTTTTTATTTTTTTTCCTTTAAAATTCGAGGACAAATCTGTTAATGGAGTTTAGACTTGATTAAACATTTGGATAAAAGTGTTGAAATCATAGTTTGGCCAAACTCAGTAAAAGAATGTCAGAGAAGGCTAAATTGATAACTTTTCCCTTAAAAAACAATCAAAATGTTCGACTGTGTTGGTTTGTTATTGAAAATTACGTCACAAGAATAACTTTGCAGCAAAAATGTAATTTGTGCACTAAAAAACAAAATTAAAAAGTCAAAGATCAAAACAACATGAATAAGGTCCATGTTGAATCTTGAATCAGACCAAGTTCATAAAAATAATACTCTAGATACATAAACAATTTAGTTTCATAAAAATAATACTACGGTTCATAAATGACATCAATTGATTAGTTATCCATTAAAGAGTTAATTCCACTAGAGATCTTTTTGGAGACAATTTCAAATTTAGTCCCAGACTATCGTTGTTGTCATTTAACATCTCAGACTATTATTTTTTGGACACTTTTAGTCCTTATTATGAATTTTCCTATTTTTAGTAAGGACATTTTTGTCTTTTCATATTTTTCTTTTGTTATTTTTCCGATTTCAACCGGTTTAATTGATTTAGAACTTTAGGTAACCTTTGATTTTTAGTAACCATATTTTTCAATCAATTTTTAGTAGTCCTAAACCTAAAAGTTAGACATTAGTACAAATTTTAATTTTAATTTCTATTTCATAACTATATTACTTTAATTAAAATGGAGATTTTATTATAAGTTAGTCTACTACGTACGTTTGTAACAAAATTTCTCTCTACTTAAAAAATTGTAAATACAAAATTTTCATTATCTAATCAATCTTATAGTTAACAAAAATTAAATTACACGCAAAATTACAATATAATTATTAGGGCATCCAATTCAAAAAGTTTGCAATTGAATCCCTAAATAACAAAAATTAATAACATAATTAATCTTAAAATGACATGTTTACCAAGTATTTGTTAATGTAGCAGTTACTTTATCAAAAATGATTTTTAGAATTAATTTTAATAATTTTAAATAAAATAAAACCTTATACATGGGCTCCAATTATTTTCTTGCACCTAATGAATTCCTGAAAGTCCATCCTTTGGCCCAATTATCTTATGCCTAGGCCCTATCTATGGCTCCACTAATATATATATATATATATATATATATATATATATATATATATATATATATATACTTCTAGGAAAAAATTAAAAACTAATTTCAATTTTACATCTGTAAAAATTGGACAGATAATGTCATATTTAAAAAAAGATATGGTGGCATTTTTGTAATTATCGTCAACTTCGTTATGCAAACTTGAACACTTAAATATGTAATTTGTATCAACTAAATATGCAAACATGGATAAATTTTAAAAAATCAATAAAAAAAAAAACTAAATTTTAAATCTAAGTGGTAAATGCTAGACCCTAAACAATAAAAAGTGAGTCTAAACCAAATAAAACAAAAAATTAGTCACAAACATTAAAATCAAAACACGCAGTGCAATGCACTTTCGCATTTTTACATAGTAAAGTTAGTGTTAATTACAAAAATGCTATCACATTTTTAAAAAAAAATATGATATGATCTGTATGATTTTTTCAGACGTAAGACTGAGATTGATTTTTAGTTTTCTCTTAAGAACTTGTTATCAAATGATCTAATATATACACACATAAAATAACTAGTATTTTTTATGCGTGATGCGCAAAAAATAGGTGCCCAATATTAATATTTTATATTAAATTGTTAAATTTATTTAGATTTTAGATATTTAAATTATTTAAATAATAATAATAATAATAATAATAATAATAATATACACATTATATATTGGGGTTATATGTTAGTTGTTTATAGCATAATGTATCATAAAACTTAACAAAAAAAACAGATATAAATGAAATATATAACCTTCATCTACACTTATTATGTTTTTAGATTAAAATCGGGTTTATATAGTGCAAATTTTATCTAATTAAAATTAGATGCGGCGAGTGTCCATGTTCATTTGAGTGGGGAGTGGGGTCCTCATATCATAAAATGAAGGCAAATTTCAATGAAGACAAACATATCTTCTGGAGATGGTGGAGGCCAGGTACGGTGCATCGTTTACTTCATGAAGGGCTGCAATGCTTCTTCAATGGAATGGAATACACTCTTCGCAATAAATATAAAATGATGATTACTCTATATTCTTACAATCAATTTAAAATATTAGTTAAAGTTAAACAAAATAGTTTTAATTTAAATTTTAAACTACTCAATATCAAAACATTTTACGGGGTATGTTTTAATTTGTCAAAGAATATAATAAAAATTTAGCAAGTCCAAAAATAAAAAAGAAGTAATATATATATATATATATATATATATATATATATATATATATATATATATATATATATAAACCACACACCTTAAGCATTGTTTTTTTTTTTTGTTTTTTTTTTTTTGTTTTTTTTTGTTTTTTTTGTTTTTTTTTTGGGATTGATAAAGATATGTTTGAACGTATTGTAGTGGTAATCGTGGTCTATTGAAACGTTTTGACAAGAATAAAAGAAGACTAGAGGTTGAAATGCCAGATAAAGAAGAAAGAAATTGAATAATGACTAATGTCTATAACTTTGAACAAGATAATAATATGGGACGGGTCATTCATGCCTTGTACCAAGGGATAATTATTTTTGTTTAGTTTTATTTTTTTAAATGTGTATTGTTAAGTGAAGAAGGTGTCATGTTTCAACTACAAATTTAAATAGAATATATATATATATATATATATATATATATATATATATATATATATATATATATATATATATATATATATATATATATGTATGTATGTATTATTTTCTATATATTATATATTATATTGAATACGCACATATCTTTATTCGTGTAAGGGGTCGGGTCAAGTTAAAAAATGTAATAATTATAATGAAAAATGTAATAGTAATCATAAATAAAGTATCTATTATTTATAACGGAAATAGAGTATTACATTTTTTTTCAAAAATATTACATTTTCTTTATACTATGTGTATTATATTTTCATCAAATCCGATTTGGTTCACTGGACCAAATAATCTTGTAAAAAACTTTACTTGGATTACAAAATTAACGGGTTCAACAATAATTCAATTCATACAACTCAACCTGGTTAAACAATAATATTGTCATGCATGATTATAAATATTAAATATCATTTTAAAGACCCTTTCAACATATATGAACCAGTTCACAATCGCTATGTACGTAGTGTTCTGAACTCTGCATGTGGGGACTATGGAGTCACGATCACTCATCCATGCGGCTGCATGAAGAAATGCGGAATTGAATTGGAAGAAGACGACAAATAGAAGGTTTGTTCTGTTGGGTCCTCCACGTGTAAATGAATTTCAACATTCAAGTCCTTCTGACTTCAATTCCTTCAATCTCAGATACATCTAACAAGTTTGGCAACTAATTAAACTCCTCAAATTTCTCCGCACGAGTTTAAATCACTGGTTCAATAAGTAATATTTGAAAAAAGAAATCAAGGTTCAAACTTTGACAATGGCAATGTGCAGATTATATTCAAAGCGGGCAAATCCCTTGTGCAGATTATATTCAAAGTGGACCGTCCCTGAACCATTGAGTCACCATGATTTATATCCTTCTAAATGCTCTGTCGGACCGGGGTGTGAGGGACCCTTGAGGAGTTCAGTCTACTGAACCATTAAGTCACCGTGATTTATATCTTTCTAAATGCTTTATCGGACCGGAGTGTGAGAGACCTTCGAGGTTGAGAATTCAACCTTTTGAGAGAAGTTCTAGGGCATTTGAAGGGCCAAGACTTACTGGGCTGTGTTCATACAAATTATTATATGAAATTAAAGCTGTTCAGACCCATTCAAGTCGTGGCAACATGGCCATGTTACTTATAAATATGCTTACTCTTCGCATTTAATTACTCCCACCCACAACAATTCCTTCATTTACTTCACATAATTTCTTAGCCAACAAAAACAATCATGAAGCTTAAAATCGTTACACTTGGTATTGTGACTGTCATGTATCTGCTTTTTCTGCTGACCACCTACCCCTATGATGGAGACAGTAGAGATGTTTATGGAACTGGTGAACAAGAATGGATGATGAAGAATCATCTGATGTTGCCGTCTCCCAATGGTGCTGATCTGAACGAAAAGAATTTTGTAACTACAAAGAAAGGAGGGTTTCAGTCCAAAAAGGAATATCTTTTCTTACAATCTTTGCAGACATGGCGGTCTAATTCTGATTCCAGGATCCAACCCCGAGCACAATGCAGTTGGTCCCGCTGCTGAGAAGAACTTTGCAGGATCGGAGTTGAAAAAGAAACGTGTTTTACTACTTTCCCTTCAAAAGCGGGGGCCTGTTACTTCTCCCAGACCAAACCGAGGGCACAATTCAGTTAACCCTCCACCACCCAATCCAAGCCATAACCATCCTGTCCGCACATTCAGTGAAAAGAACTTTGGAAGTTCCGAATTGAGAAGCCATCATGTTTTACTACCTTCCCTTCAAAAGGGGGGACCTGTTACTTCCCCAGGACCCAATCTAGGACACAACTCAGCACCCAATCCAAGTCATAGTCCAATCAGCACATTCAGTGAAAAGAACTTTGCAAGTTCTGAGTTGAGAAACCAACATGTTTTACTACCTTCCCTTCAAAAGGGAGGACCTGTTACTTCTCCAAGATCCAATCCAAGACACAATTCAGCACCCAATCCAAGTCATAACCCAGTCAGCACATTCAGTGAAAAGAACTTTGCAAGTTCTGAGTTAGAGAAACCAACATGTTTTACTACCTTCCCTTCAAAAGGGGGGACCTGTTACTCCTCCAGGACCCAATCCAGGAAACAATTTAGCACCCAGCCCAAGTCATAACCCAGTAAGCACATTCAGTGAAAAGAACTTTGCAAGTTCTGAGTTGAGAAACCAACATGTTTTACTACCTTCCCTTCAAAAGGGGGGACCTGTTACTCCTCCAGGACCCAATCTAGGAAACAATTCACCCGGTCCAAGTCATACCCCAATCAGCACATTTAGTGAAAAGAACTTTGCAAGTTTCGGGTTGAGAAGCCAGCATGTTTTACTACATTCCCTTCAAAAGGGAGGACCTGTTACTCCTCCACGACCCAATCCAGGAAACAATTCACCCGGTCCAAGTCATACCCCAGTCAGCACATTCAGTGAAAAGAATTTTGCAAGTTCTGAGTTGAGAAACCAACATGTTTTACTACCTTCCCTTCAAAAGGGGGGACCTGTTACTCCTCTAGGACCCGATCCAGGAAACAATTCACCCGGTCCAAGTCATACCCCAGTCAGTACATTCAGTGAAAAGAACTTTGCAAGTTTCGGGTTGAGAAGCCAGCATGTTTTACTACCTTCCCTTCAAAAGGGAGGACCTGTTACTCCTCCACGACCCAATCCAGGAAACAATTCACCCGGTCCAAGTCATACCCCAGTTAGCACATTTAGTGAAAAGAACTTTGCAAGTTCTGAGTTGAGAAACCAACATGTTTTACTACCTTCCCTTCAAAAGGGGGGACCTGTTACTCTTCCAGGACCCGATCCAGGAAACAATTCACCCGGTCCAAGTCATACCCCAGTCATCACATTTAGTGAAAAGAACTTTGCAAGTTTCGGGTTGAGAAGCCAGCATGTTTTACTACCTTCCCTTCAAAAGGGAGGACCTGTTACTTCTCCAGGACCCAATCCAGGAAACAATTCACCCCGTCCAAGTCATACCCCAGTCAGCACATCCAGTAAAAAGAACTTTGCAAGTTCAGGGTTAAGAAGCCAGCATGTTTTACTACCTTCCCTTCAAAAGGGTCCTGCTACTTCTCCAGGACCTAACCCTGGACACCCTACAATTAGTCCAATTGATCAGAAGAACTTTGCAGGTTTGAAAATGAGAAAGAACCAGATTTCACTTCCATCTATGAAAGTGCGGCCAATTACTCCTCCAAGAACAACTCTTGGTCAAAACTCAGGGTGCAACATGCGTACTAAAAAGAACTTTGCAGATAGGAAAATGGCTTCTGCACATCCTCCTCCATTTCCTCTGGTGGTTAGTTGCATCTCTAAAGGCTACTAAGCTAATTAAGTTACAGTATTAAATTTCAGCGGATACTGTCCATTTATTTGTTCTTTCTGTCTCTTTTTCTTCTTTTGTTTTTTCAAATTTATTGTAGTGACTGAATAAAATAAAATGAATGTAATAATTAATGATCTGAAATATGGAGAATGAAATAAAAGTGTCATGTTTAGTTCTATTATATAATTTGTTGTCTATATCTGCATATATATTTGCATGCAACAAAGAAAATTTAGAAAATTTCATGACTTAATAATATAATAAATGAATAATAAGAGTAAAATTAATCACGAAACTTTATATAAAAATGCAATTAGATCATCCATCTCAAAAAATATAAATAACTCCATAAACAAGCAAAAATGGTGTAATTAGTTCAAAAGTGACATGTCTACTACGTAAATTGCTAAGATGGCGGTTAACCTTTGATAAATTATTTTATTTATTTATTTTATTAATTTTAGATATTAAAAAAAGGAAAAGTGACCCCTTAAAATATCAATATACGAGTAATATTTTAAAAACATAATGTAAAATGCAGACTATGTCTCGGATATCAGAATATTCATTTTTCTAAAATATCATTTTGAAATAGCAGTGCTATTCATATTTTAGATCATTGTTGTTGTATTGCCTCTTTAATATGAATTCAAATTCAGTTGATTCTCATTATTCTAGACAAATTTTATTGTAAAAGTTTATGGGATAAAATTAAGAACTAAGAGAGAAAAGTTCTTAGTGTTAGATAATAATATTAAGACTAACATGGACTGTAGTAAACGAGTAAACTGTAGTAAAAATTGGTAACAAATTTTGAGACCAAATTTTCTATATATCAAGTTTAACAAGACTATGACAGGCACAAAAAAAATTCAAAGCAAAACAATGAACGTAACTATTTTTTCTGATTTTTCAAAGTCGATTGCGCAAAACTGCAAATTTATGTTAGATTGTGTTTTTTCTACTCAAAATAAAGTTTGAGATGGATTATAACTTATTGAAGCATGAGGAAAATCTAGGCTCTGATATCAAATGATACAAAACTGGTAGGCCTGATATTTTTTTCACACTCTAATATAAAGAATCTCATAGAATGGCTTATTTTGTTGGGTGAATTTGATTCAAAGGTTTAACTTGGGCTGGGAAAGGGTTGGGTGAATTTGATTCAAATTAAAGCTTTAACTTGGGCTGGGAAAAAAGGCTAATTTTTTTTATTTTGATAAGTCCACGGCCAAAACGGGTTATCAGGTGATACGTGGAGTAAGAACAACACCACAAGTGAGGTTTTACACTTGATAAGTTAAGATGGCCATGACCGACTCACAACCGAATTGAACTCATCTCGAGTTCAAAAAAACACTCAGTTTTTTAACTCAAAAAATCCAACTCTCTATTTTATTCATATAAGACAGCGATATTTATAGTTGTAGATCCTAGTTTCATTAGACACTTCTCAAGAGAACTAGAAATTCTAACAAACTAAAAACAAACTAATTATGATAAACATAAATAACAAAGAACACTAAAACTCCTAAATCTAATTTAATACTGACTAACTATAAAAAGCACACAATCAATTTATATCACAAATTAACTAACTAAATAATGAATATAATAATTCCCAAAAACTAATTAATTTAAAATTATAATGGCACCATAATTTATTAACAACTCAGTCATGGATTGCTCACATGTTCACAACAGTTGGCTACCCTAGTTCCAGTGTCTTGTCACTTGGATACGGCCACGGAACCATTTCCCGACCCCACTCACTACAGGAGTCTAGCCGGGGCTTTGTAGTACTTGACGGTGACTCGTCTTGATATGTCTTTTGTTGTAAACTAACTGTGCTAGAATATGCATGCTCCTTCTGTGGCACATTGGTCTCAACTGAAGTGTGTGCTGCGGTCTATTAAGGGTACCTTACACTTTGGCCTTCGTTTGTGCAAATCTCCTACAACTGATATTCATAATTCATGCGTTCTCTAATTCGGATTGGGCTGACTGTTCGTAGATCGAAAGTTTAGGAGTTGTTTTGCGGTGTTCATGGGCTCAAATTTAATCTCATGGGTGTGTCGAAAGCAGCGCACAGTTGCCAGGTCTGAGGTAGAATACAAGGCCCTTGTTGATGTATGTGCGGAAGTCACGTGGATTGTTTCACTATTGCGTGAGCTGGGTATTAGCCCAGTGCCTGTCCCGAAACTGTGACGTGACAACCTTGGTGCTACTTATATGTGTGCCAATTCGGCATTTCATGCACGCACGAAACACGTGGAGATTGATTATCACTTTCTTAGGGATAAGGTAGCATCGGGGGAACTTCAGTTAACTTTATTTCAACCAAAGATCAGCTAGCGGATATCTTCATTAAGGCACTTCCAACTTCGCGGTTTGGGGCTTTGCCGAACAAGCTTCATGTTGTCGGTTAAACATGAACTTGCGGGGGATTGTTAGGACTCTTGTACTCCTAGTTGTAGTATAAAACTTCCTTTTGTATTTGTTATATCTTATTGTATCCTTATTAGGCTAATGCATGTTTAATTACCTAAGTCTAATCGTCACATCAAAGAGTAAAAGGGATGGAGTCGAAATTAAGAATCTATATAATAGAACTCTATCAAATAGAACATTGACCCTTTTAACTACAGTTAGATGGACAAAATTCAATTAGATTAAGAGACATTGATTGAATTAAATATTATTTTAAAATAAAATTGTAAAGTAGAATTGTTCAACTTATTACCTGTTCAACATAAATGAGATTCCTAAGATATGGTCCGTCGGGTCCTCGACGTACGTGTAAACGTCAACAACATACGAGGGAATAAGTGAAATTCAATATTCAAGCAATCAAGCCATTGAGTTTTTGGATTATTGTTATACTTCAATTCCTTCACTCTCAAACAGACACTTGATAAGTTGTTGGCAAGTTGTACGCGGAGGCCATTTGAAGGGCCAAGAGTACTTATTGGGCTGTGTAGTCATACAAATATACTGAATCCAAAACCCATAAAACATATGCTCCAAAATACATAAACGTCTACTTCGCGAGCTCGGACCCATTCAGCTTGCGTGGATCATGCTCTGAAAATAGCATCATTTCTTAAAATCTTGTATTTTTGGCGTGTTCAGAACAAAATGAAACTACAGTGTATTTAAAATTAAACTGAATTACTTGTCTCACATATTGTGTTTATATTATCAAATGAAAATATAATTGTATTGAAATGATATTTTAGTTGCGTTGAAATGAAATTACAGTATGTATAAAATTAAACTGAATAACATATCTCACATATTGACGGTATATTGTCAAATGAAACTGTTGTTCAATTGAAATGATACTTTATTTGTGCTGAAATGAAATTATAGTATGTATAAGAAGAAACTAAATAACATGTCTCGTATATTGTCAAATTAAACTGTAGTTGAATATAAATAATATTATTTTAGTTGTGTTGAAATGAAACTACATTATGTGTAAAAAGAAACTGAATAACATGTCTCACATATTGATCGAGTGTATATTGTCAAATGAAACTGCAGTTATATCAAAATGATACTTTAGTTGTGTTATAATGAAACTACAGTATATATATAAAATGCAGTTAAACTGAATAACAGTTTCACATATTTGAGTGTATATTCTCCAATTAGAATTATAATTTAGTGGTGTTGTAATAAGACTACATTGTGTATAAAATGAAACTCAATAACATATCTCACTGTAATAAGACTATTGTATGTATAATGTCAAATAAAACTGTAGTTAAAACAAAATGAAACTTTAATTGTGCTGAAATGAAACTACAAAGTATATAAAATGAAACTAAATATATTATATAAACATAATTAATTACACGGAACGAGTGTTATTTCTTATCATTAAAAGAAATGTACGACATCGTTTTGGACAATGGTCCACTGCAAAATTTGCCGTCAACTTGTAGCTTTTTAAAAACAATAAAATAAAAAATTCCTTAAGAACCAATTCCTTTCCGGTCAATCTATCCACAGTTAGGGGTGTTCAATCGGTTAACCGTTCGGTTAACCGAACCGTTTTAACCGAACCGAATTAACCGAAGTTTTTTTTCTTTTAACCGTTAACCGAACCGAAGTTTTCTCTACCGAATTCACCGAACCGAAATTTTTTTCGGTTAATCGGTCGGTTAACCGATTAACCGAACTTTTTAAAGTTAAAATTTAAAATTCTAAAAATAACACCTAAAATAATAAATCCAATTAAAATAAAATACATATTATAATAAATTCATAACAAAATATACAAAAACATTAATTATAAACTCCAAACATCCATAACTTCAAATTAGTATTTATATTTATATTATTATTTATATATATATTACAAACTTCGGTTAACCGTTCGGTTAATTCGGTTAACCGACCTTTCGAACCGAATTAACCGTTAACCGAAGTTTTAAAATTTCTTTAACCATTAACCGAACCGAAAAAGTTCGGTTCGAAAACGGTTAACCGAAATTTGTCGGTTCGGTCGGTTAACCGAAAATTATCCGAAGTTTGCACACCCCTATCCACAGTCAACACCCTTCTTAACTCCATTTGGTTTCTGCAAAATTATTGGAGTTCCAAAAATATCATTCTTGACCGTGTTACCTATAAATATGCCTCCACTTCGCACTTAATTCCCATAGCCACATACATTCATTTACTTTTCATACTAGTTTAGCCAGTTAGCCCACAAAAAAAACAACAACAAAAAAGAAAAAAAAAAAAAACAAACAAAATCATGAAACTTGAAGTTGGTATTCTTTGTATTATGGTAGCCACGTCTCTACTGTTTCTACTGACCATCAACCCAAATGATGAAGACGGGAGAGTTGTTGTTGAAGATGATGAACAAGTATGGATGAGGAAGAATCATCTCATGCTACCGTCTAAATGGAGGCGTGTAACACCTCCAACTCCCAACTTGGGTGATGAAGGGGTAACAGTTCCCGAGTTCTCAATGGGTGAGAAAA